GCCTTGAGCAAAAAGTTTAAGCTTTTTGAACTTTCATCTTTTTAACTTCTAAATAATACATTACTATACCTATTGAGAGAGAGAGAGAGAGAGAGAGAGAGAGAGAGCGCTTCCAACTAATACTTTAAAAGGCTAAGATGAAGGCCCTCGTGTGCCTTGAGCAAAAAGTTTAAGCTTTTTGAACTTTCATCTTTTTAACTTCTAAATAATACATTATTATACCTATTGAGAGAGAGAGAGAGAGAGCTAACATTGAGGTGGTATTGTAATTAACTGAGACTTAAAAAGCTCATGTCGTTGATAATTAATTTAGATCCTAATCTTCCGATCCAATTAGCAGGAATACAGTCTGATTTAAGTATATAGCGCTATTTGGCCATTTAAATCAGTTAGCCTACTAACATCTGAAAAAATACAAGAAATCCTGAACCTAAGATCTTTTCACATGCTCTCCCTTTCTCTCTAGTCTCCCCTTTCAGCCACCATATGGGGCTTCTGTTCGTTATTGCTATTGCTACTAATCTTTCCAACCATGGTTTTTCCATCACAAGGAAGAGGGATAACACTAGACATCAATGTTTTTGTCATGAAATATTAAAAATAAGTATAAATTTAACTCCAATTCTTCTCCTTCTCTCCTAAAAGAAACCCCAAGGAAAGCAGATTTCCAATAAAGCACACTCCTTAGACACAAAATGAGTTGAATGTGTGCTACAAACCTAAGGTGGACCCCTCATCCACAAAGGCACACACATTTTTGACTAAAGCCTTTCCCTGGACGCATCAGGGCAATTTTTCTTTGCCTTGCTCGTGCACCTTGAAAACACCTTTAAGAACATTCTTTTGACAGCAAAGACAAATGCTAATTTCATGAAAAAACTGCGCAAAGTGGCCATCAATCCCAACATAAACCTTTCTACCATAATAGCATTGCACTCTAAGCATAATTAATAGCAGTATTTAGCAACATAAGCATGATATTAGGCAAACCAACATGCTTCAGCAAATATCACGATTAGGATCGTGTGAAAATTTTGGGTAATACACATAACAATGGAAAACTAGATTCTTACGCCAACTGGAACAACTTGAAAGTCTAATCAATTGTTCAAAATGAAGCAGGGCTAAAATGATTTGACCACTGATATTAACATACTACTAGTCCGCTGAGTGGCAACTATAGTATACCAGGTAAAATGATTTGACCCACTGATATTAACATAATGCACAGCTTACTGCAGGAACCCCACTCCTGAACCATGCAAAAGAAAAAAGCCATAGCTCATTCTGCACTAGTCTATAATATCAATAAAGAAACATGGATTGCGGAATTCACTAGCAATAACTTGATTTTAGCATATGATAAACTAACTCGACAATTTTCATAGCCCACATTACCCTGTACTTTCCTGTTCATTAGGATATTACTCAATCAATTAACTTTAATAAATCTAAAACAGTGGCAGTAATTGTGTTTCAGAAAGTTCAATTATGGAACTCTCCGGTTAGATTTTCTATTCTGCCATATTTTCAAAAAATGTTAAGCAAGAGATTACTTCTTTCATTGTTACTGCTTAGATATTTAGGAACCAAGTCAAGATATCCATACTTCTCAGCATGTGTGCGGCAGAGCTGCAAAGAAAACGAGTGAAACGTGCTGATTGTGAGCTCTTTTGCTGCTGTCTTCCCTGCAACTCTTCCAATTCTCTCCCTCATTTCAGAAGCCGCCGCTGTCGTAAAAGTCATAGCAAGAATGTTTGACGGACCAATACCCTATAACAAAAAGCAAAAGGAAAAGGGAGGAAGAAAAGTCAGTCAGTAAATACTTGACCAGATCCCTCACTTGCCAGACATGGTATTGACAAAAGTATGACAATATAATATCACTTATAGTCATCGCACTACCTTGTGCAGTAGCATCAGGACTCGCCCAACCATTGTAGATGTCTGACATCCAAATAGAAGAGATCAAACAAATATTGATAAGACATACAAATTTCACTGTTAAACAATGAGGAAGTACAGACCTTGCCACTTCCTGGTCCAGCGACAATGATTAAAGGAATTGAAATGTCACTACAAGCGGCTTCCTGCTGTCTGTCATTTAGGGACTCTACATACTTTATATAATCCTCAGGCATGTTCCTGATATCTGTTGCCTCTAGCTTGCTCTGAGTATCTGCAGCCTTGGAACTCTTTGGCTCCTCTATTTCACATTCTTGATTACCAGTTGAATTCAGAGCGCACTCAAGTTTAAGTGTTTCATCTGAGCTAACAAGATTTAAATCATCAGGTTCGCTGCTCTTTGATATCTCTGCTTCACTTTCTTGATTGCATTCATGACCTGAACTGTCACTAGAAACAACGGGATTGAAGTTATCCTCCTCATCCAAGTTGTTTATGTGTTGGTTTCCAATTGGCTCATTGTTGAACCTGTTCATTTCAGGCTTTCCTTTTGACTTTTGCTCACATAAAGCATCTATTTTGTCCAAAATGTGTTCATCAAAATCATCATCTAGAACAGTAGATGACAAAGATGACTCACTCAACCCACAAAATCCAGGTTGCCTCACTGGAGTTTTATACATATCTAACCCAACCATGGTCTCCACTTGAACACTATCTACATTTTCACTTAGTCTAGCTTTGACTGATCCACTTCTGTCACTAGAAAACGTGAAAGTTTCAATTGACTGAAATGGTGTCCCACACTTGGTTCTTCCATTGATGTTTTTATCAAGTTCACTGACTAGTGAGCCCTTTACACTGGTACAACCACTGAGCTTTTTTTTAGAATCCTTCTCGGAGATGGGTGATGGAGTGTTCATCCGAATCTCAGTAAGAGGAAACCTTTCATCACCATCAATCCGATGCAAGGATTCAGTTCTCTGAGACTTCCCAAATCTAGGACAACAATAACCACCATGATTATCAGATACATCAAAACACTAGAATAAATAAGAAAGATTATGAAAAACATCATAAGTGCTCTCGAAGCATGTAATGAACAATAAATAAACATACAAGAAAAAGAAAACAATTTCCAGATCAAGTTAAATTGTTGGTACCTTTATTTTCCAAGGATAAATGATTTACCACAAATTTCAAAATTAGAAGAAATCAATGCATTGGCATTGAATAAGTAATGAAGGAGCTATTAAATGATTTCATAACTAAGGAGAGGAATAGGACTCTTTATCAATATCGTAACATCTCGATGGGTAATGGAACTTAGATCACGACCTGAGCATACTTGTGAGGTGGAATTTGTCGACTAGCAAATTACTAGGGGGAAACTAACTTCTTTCCAATTGAGATGTTGTGGATTCTAATGCACAAAATATAGTCAGACAAAATTGTGATCCTAGCTTAAAAAGAAGAGCTACATCGTTAGAACATAGAATTGGATATAGGTAATCATGTGCTCCGAAGTTTTAAACTCCAACTATCAATCTGCAAAGAGCTAATTGCGGGCTTAGCTTGCGGGAAGATAACCTACACAAAAGAGAAAAACTTGCATTTTTTCTTGGTTCCCCTTTCTGATTGGAACCCTAACAAATAAGGATAGGTAATGTGTCTATTTATAGAGGTGGAGAAATTAACAAGAATAACCAAAACACAATCAATTTGAAATTAAAGAGGGAAAACGTACTTATTGAGGGATTGAAGGGAAGTGGTGGAGGAATCATTGAGTGGCCTTTTGCGAGCAAGAAGTGCCTTAGCAGCTCTGAACTTAGAAGAAATTCGAGCTTTCTGTTCCGCCGTTAATCCGCCTCCACTAGTCACCACGTTCTCCTTGTTGTTTACTTCTTCACTCATTTTTCTACCTCTGGGTGTGTGTGTCTCTCTCGCGTGGAAGGAGCAAGAAGAATTTTGAACGTTTTTCTTGACTGTGTTGCGCTGTTATTTTCCCTCCGATAATCAGAATGGATGATTTTTCAAATTATGGGCTGGTGACCGAGCCTTTAGTGGCCGATTCTTTTGCATTATCGGTGGGTTTTCTTTTGGGCCTGCAATGCTTTGGGCGGTAATTGTATGGAAATGACACTAGCTAGCCACTTTTAAGTATGCTATTTAAAATATATCCATAGTTTACGATGTATTTAAAAATTAGCCAATTCACTCAAACCTCAGGATACGACGTCCTCAAATTTAAACCTCAAGGTTCAAACTTCAGGATACCGTATCCTGAATTTGAAAATTATATTCAAAAATTCAAATCTTATGTCCTGAATTTAAAATTAGCAGTTCAAAATTCAGGACACTTATTTATCCTGAATTTCAATTAGCAATTCAGAAATTTAGGACACGTATAGCCTGTTTGGCCAAGCTTCAGTTGAAAAGTACTTTTTTTCTAAAGAAGTATTTTTTTCTCTTTAAAGTTGAAGTGTTTGGTCAGCTTTTAGAAGAAAAAAATGCTTTTGATTAGAAGCAGAAGTAGTTTTGGAGAAGCAGAAAAAAATAGCTTCTTCCCAAAAATATTTTTTTGAGAAGTACTTTTGAGAAAAATACTGTGATGACCCAAAAGGTCATCACTTGTTTTAAAACAAAACTTCCGTGTTCTGAGGCCTTGAAAATCTCATTTAGAGTCACCTCGATTTGTGTGCGCAGTCCGGGCGCGTAGCTGGAAAGCTTAAACATGATAATCTGTGAAAAATGATAAGTTTTGATTATAAAATGAGTTAATTTGACTTTGAACAACGTTTTGGGTAAACGGACCCGGACTCGTGATTTGATGGTCCCGGAGGGTCCATAGGAAAATGTGGGACTTGGGCGTATGCTCGAAATCGAATTCCGAGGTCTCAAGCCCGAGAAATAAATTTTTAAAGTAAATTATTTTCTGGAATTTGTTTAAAGAATTTTGAAGAATTTTGATTAGAATATGATGGTATCGGGCCCGTATTTTGGTTCTGGCGCCCGGTACAGGTCTTATATATGATTTAAGATATTTCTGAGGAATTTGGTGAAAACGGATGTCATGTGACGTGATTCGGACTTAAATTGCAAAATTTATGTTTAAAGAAGTTTTGAGAAAATTTCGTTGATCTAGAGATTTAATTTGATGTTCATGAGGTTATTTTGATGATTTGATTACACGAGTAAGTCCATATGATGTTTTTGAGTTAGTATGACGTTTGGTTTGGAGCCCCGAGGGCTCGGGTGGGTTTTGGGATGTTTTTACACTTAGGAAAAAGTTGTAGATTCATAGAAGTTGCAAGTCTCTGAAGCCAAGTCTTGCGATCCGCGATGGAAGCTTCGCGGCCGCGGTGGGGACTCCGTGACCAAGGTGGGATTTGTGCGGTCCGCGGTGAGCAAGGCCAAGCCTTCGCAGCCGCGCTTGATTTCTTGCGATCCACGGTGGAGACCTGTGCGGCCGCGGTCCATTTCGTGCGGTCCGCATAGGGCACTGGACCGCATTACCTCAAGAAGGCCTGTGCGGCCGCAGTCCATTTTGTGCAGTCCGCACAGGGGGTCTGAGAGGGGTATAAATAGACGGGATTTCCAGTTATTTTCATTTTCCAAAACCCCAAAAACATAAGAGGCGGTTTTTAAACAACCTTTTTTCTCCAAATCAATTGTTAGTCAATTTTAACTAGTTTTCTTCAATCATTAACATCTTTAATATGATTTTAATTTCAAATCAATTATTTTCATGGTGAAATTGGAAATTTTGGGTAAAACCTAAGAATATTAAAATTTAGGGATTTAGACCTCAAATTGAAGTCGGATTCCAAAACCAATTATATATCCAGGCTTGGGGGTAAATGGGTAATCAGGTTTTGGTCCGAATTTCGGGTTTGAACCAAGCGAGCCTAGGGTCAATTTTTGACTTTTTGGAGAAATCTTTATAAAACATATTTTCATGCATTAGAATTGATTCATTTGGCATTTATTGATATCGTTAAGCAAATTGTGGCTAGATACAAGCGAGTTGGTGGTGGAAACAAGAGGTAAAACGGTGTCACACCTCTTTTTTCCTACACCCCGGAAAGGGTATAAGGGAGTTTTTTCCAACTTAAAGTGACAATCAAAATGGGATTCATTTATTATTAAAAATTCA